GGCCTTCCCCTTCCTCTGTTACAAGCATCGCGGCCCGCGTTGAATATTTTCAGAGCAGGAGCGTTTCTGTCCATCCGAACGACATGGCCAAGCCAGCGGAGCCGCTGAATTTTAGAGAAATTACTGATTCAACAAAAAATTGAAAGTTTCTGGATCATCTGGTTTTTGGGATATATTTTCAATAAGGATACCAATTACTGAAAATAAATTTTCTAAACTTTTTAAATGATTTTCTTTCAATTACTTGTGAATCAGATTACACTAAACCAGTGCAACGCCAAACGGTTCACAGAATTGAGACAAAAGGAGTGCTACCTTTCTCTAAACCTCGTAGGCTTGATCCAATTAAATTTAATATAGCAAAAACAGAATTTGAAATTTTAGTTAAAACGGGTATATGTAGGCCTTCACGCTCTCACATTGCATCTCCTTTACATTTGGTTCCCAAAAAAGAACCAAATGATTGGAGACCTTGTGGAGCTTACAGAAGACTTAATTGTATTACTATTCCAGATCTTTATCCGTTACCTCACATTCATGATTTGACTATTGATTTAAAAAATAAAAAATTGTTTTCCAAAATTGATCTTGTTCGTGCGTATCATCAAATACCGATGGCTGAAGAAGATATACATAAAACAGCAATTACTACACCGTTTGGAATGTTTGAGTTCGTACTACGAAATAGTGCACAAACATTTCAACGTTTTATTAATGAAGTATTTTCAGGGTTAGAATTTTTGTTTGTCTATATTGACGATATTCTTGTTGCAAGTGATAATGAAGATCAACATATTGAGCATTTAAAATCTGTATTTGAAAGACTTGAAAAAGATAGTTTGAATATTAAACCTAGTAAATGCATTTTTGGAGCAAATAAATTAGATTTTCTAAGTTATGAAATTTCAAGTGAAGGAATAAGACCTTGTGTCGAACGAGTTGAAGCAATAGTAAATTTTGAAAAACCACTTTCAATAAATAAATTACAAAAATTTTTGGGCATGGCTAATTATTACCATAGATATGTTAAAATGTTAGCAGCAAAACTTAGTCCTCTGTACGAAATGTTAACATTGGCAACTAAAAATAAACTTAAACAATTAAATTGGACAGAAAATACAACTAGGGCTTTTGAAAATGTGAAGAAACTTTTTACACAGAAGACTTTACTCACTCATTTTGATAAAAATGGTAAATTATCACTTGCTGCCGATGCATCGAATGTAGCAGTCGGTGCGGTTTTACAACAAATGGGGAACAACAGTTTAGAACCACTTGCATATTTTTCACGAAAATTATCTTCTACAGAAATTAATTACTCTATATTTGATAGAGAACTTTTAGCAATATACAATTCAATTAAACATTTTAAACATTTTCTAGAAGGTAGAACATTCACTCTTTATACTGATCATAAACCTTTAACACATATTCTAAATTCTAAATCAGACAAATCACCTCGACAAATTCGACACTTAGAGTACATTGCACAATTTACAGACGACATTCAATACATTTCTGGAAAAGAAAACATAGTTGCTGATACCCTTTCACGTATTTCAGATGTTAACATGATTTTAGCCCAAGACATAAATTTTCAAACATTATTCGAAGAACAACAAAAAGATCAAACACTTTATAACATAATATCTGACCAAAATTCCAAGAGTAATTTAAAAGAAACTAATATTCCAGTACTTAATCTTAATATTTGGTCTGATATTTCTCAACAACCTTTTAAACCATTTGTTCCCAATTCTATGAGAAAAATTATTTTTGATAAAATTCATTCTTTATCACATCCAAGTGTCCGTACAACTAGGCGGTTGATTCAATCAAAATATTTTTGGCTTAATATGCACAAAGAGATAAATAATTGGACTTCTACTCGTATAAGTTGTCAAAAATCAAAAATTTCTGAACATACTAAGACGCCTGTGCAAAAAATTAACAATCGTTACATTTTAGCTATCATTGATAGACATACACGTTGGCCAGAGTCATATGCACTTAGGGATATTTCAGCTAATTCTATAGCAACAACATTTGTTCAAAATCACGTTCCTCGTTTTGGTATTCCACTTTATATACACATATATATCACAGTTTACATCAAAATTGTTCACAGAATTAACTAAATTGTTAGGATCACATTCATACGTCTCCATATCATCCCCAATCAAATGGAATGATTGAAAGATTTCATAGGACATTAAAGACTGCTATTACTCCTTCGGAGGATTCTAATCACTGGTCTGAAATTCTTCCTCGGATATTATTACGATTACGTACGTCTGTTAAAGAAGATTTAAAATGCTCTTCTGCAGAATTAGTTTATAGACAAACATGAAGATTACCAGGTGAATTAGTTGTTACGAACAGTTATAATAACGAAGTTGATAATACAGATGAAACTCTTTCTAATTATTATTAACAAGTAAAATTTGCAATCACCTTATGAAGGACCATTTAAAATTATTTCGAAAAATGACAAAGTGTTCAAAATTCAACATGGAAATATGACTAAAACGGTTTCAATATATTTACTCAAACCTGCAAATATAATTTCTGATACAACAAAAAAATCTAATTCACTAACAATTCCAATTAAAAAAAGGAAAATTACATTTAAGATTAATTAATTTATTGTTTTATTGGAGGGGGAGTATATGTATGTACCCTACACTGGTTATTTCAGTTTTCTCTTGCGGGTTACAGAAGGGCGAGAACTCTCTTCAGACTCAAAAATTAAGATTAGTGCCACAAGAGATTATTTTGCGAGGTTTAGCCGATTGGGTATTTGAACCTCAGCCTGGTGTAATTAATCAAAACCAATTACAGGATCGATCAATTTCTCGTCCACAAAATAAGCACTGTACGATAGTTAATAAAGAAATGGTTAATATGTGTCCGGAGTAGAAATGGCGTCGATATCTACTGTCGCTTCTGAATATCCACAGGAGCAAGTAGAAGTAGGGGAGTCACCTCATAACTTGATACTAAAAGTTAGAGCAGCTGTGATGCTAATCCACAACCTAAATATGTACATATGAAGGGTTAGTTAATGGGCTCGCCTAATAGTTAAAGGATTACAATGTAATTGTTTGGATACCGCAGTACAAATATGTACATATAAAGGGTTAGTTAATTTACTTTAAACATGTGATTCGAATCATACCATCCCATATAAATTAACAGCCCAGCGAATCAACACATGCTTTTGTATTTACACGTCGCCAATTGAAAATTATTGTAGCGTTGGCAATAAAAATAAATAAGTCTCAAGGTCAGACCCTAGCAAGACTAGCCTAGCTTACCGCATGGCGTATTGAGTAGAGTACGATCTTGCCCAAATACCAAGTTGAAGTTAACTACCAAAGCAATGCATGTGGTTTTTAGAATAAAGAAATATGCAGATTTTTTAGACCACTTAGCACCCCGATTTTCAGGGATTATTACTGGTTATAATGCAAAACCTGACAAAAGGTTTGTTATATGGTAATTAATTAACATTTTTTGTTGAAATATTTTTCAATATGTGGCTTTCCTCGTTTAGACATTTCAGTTTTAAAGCTATTTCAGTCCTCTTTCATATGATACCAAATCTGTTTAATTTGGACAGGCCGTTTGTTTATTATCCAGAAATGACTTATTTTGGAATAATATTCGCAACAACCCTGGAAGGGACTATGACTGAAGATGAAAATGAACAAAAAACAATTTTAACAAAACTACTTATCTTTTTATTCAGCGCTGTAACCGCCTAAGGGTCAAAACATAGTGGAGCGGCGAGCAAAGCGAAGAGCTAGCATCGAGCAACGCTTCAATTACAAACGTGTATGTACGCTTTGCTCTCCACTATGCGCTTTCCCATTGAAACGTACGCGTTTGAAATCGACGCTTTGCTCGCCGCTCCACTATGTTCTTACTCTAAGTCGTTTTTCTTCTGTGCCAACTGACGCCAATTGGAAATGCCAAGTGATTACAAGTCCCTCTTCACCTGGTCTTTCCATCGCAGTGGGGACCTCGCTCTTCCTCTGGTACCACCAGCGGGTTCCCAGTTGAATACTTTCAGAACTGAAGCGTCGGTGTCTATGTGAATGAAGCGAAGCCGCTGTATTTTGATTTTATGCGCTGCACTTTGTCCATGTCATTGTAAAGCTCATACAGCTCATAGTTCCATCATCTGCAGTACTCACAAAGCGTAGAGTCGAATATTACAGGATACTTCTCATCGGATTTTGTCATTAGACATGCGTCTGCGTCATGATGTAGCACGGGCATGATGAGTGACTTATAGAGAGTGGTTTTCGTACATCATGAGGGGACTTTTTTTTCTGAATTGACTACTCAGTCCAGAGAATCACTTGTTGACAAGGGTGATTCTGCGTTGGATTTCGATGCTGACATAATTATCTGGGTTATTGCTGGTTCCAAAGTAAACGAAATTCTCAGCTTTCGCGAAATTATAACTGTCAACAGTGACGTAGGTGCGAATGCTCGAAGGACTAACTGTTTGTTTGATGATCTCGTTTACCACCAGACCCATTCTTGATGTCCTTGCCAATTCTTGATGGAGCTGGTGATATTGCTCAACATCATTTTACGTCTTGTTTAAAGTAACTTAATTTATCCGCAATTTTACTTTTTCCAGCACTGGAACGAGGGAGATAAGGGCAATAATCGAACATCCTAAATTTGGGTACTACATAAAAGATAGTCCGAAAATTGTATAAAACAGTTAATAATTTGGTTTTCTTTTGAAGGGTGTCGCAACAGAACTCAATAAATTTGAGCTTCTACTATTAATATTTACGGAAATCACCAACTCGTTTGCAGAGCCATTAGCTCCAATTTCATGAAGTTCACATTCACTAATAAATTTTAAGGTTACTGTGATACGGTGAAGAAAATATAACCGTTATTATATGCATACTATAATAATGACTAATTTTGAATTTGTTTAATAAAGGATTTTACAATTTGTACCTCTTTTGCAGGATTCTAAAATAAGTATTTATCAAAAAATGTGGCAGTATATGGAAAATCGAAGAGGAACAGTTTTTGTTAAGACTTACGAAAATGGTATAAAACGTGTTATAGAAGGAAATTACGCTTTCCTTATGGAATCTACAATGCTTGATTATGCAGTGCAACGTGACTGTAACTTAACACAAATCGGTGGACTTCTGGATTCTAAAGGTTACGGCATCGCCACTCCAAAAGGGTCGCCTTGGCGTGATCCTTTGTCTCTCGCAATCTTGGAACTTCAAGAAAAGGGAATCATACAGATATTATATGATAAATGGTGGAAAAATACGGGTGATGTTTGCAATCGGGACGAGAAAAGTAAAGAATCTAAAGCAAATGCATTGGGCGTGGAAAACATAGGTAAATATCAAACCATCTTTTTCTCAATTTAGACTCTAATTCATGTATTTTTAAAAGGTGGCGTTTTCGTCGTATTGCTTTGCGGTCTAGCTTTGGCAGTTGTCGTTGCCATTTTAGAATTTTGTTGGAATTCCAAGAAGACAATGCAGCTCGCTGAAAACCAATCTTTGTGTTCTGAAATGGCGGAAGAACTGAGGTATGCCATGCATTGCCATACATCAAAACAGCGTCCATCTCTAAACCGTAAGTGCGTCAAATGTACACCGGATTCTACGTATGTGCCTGCCGAATTGGGAAGCGGCATCCCAAATGCTAGTGGGGTGCACTACAATTATTTTAATTAAGTATTGAGTGATTTGAAATAAAAATATAAAATTGTATTATTATAATTATCTAAACGAATGCGTTCAATTAGTTATTAAATAAGCAGTGTGACCAGATGATCGCAAAAAGCGAAGATAATCCGTTTTTAAAAAAAGTTAGAAAATATTGTATGCTATGAAATTTTAAGTCAAAAAGAAGTCAGTATATTCATTCCTTAAAAACATACATACTTCAATATATCGTCGCACGTATGTATGACGCTTACGATATTATTTTACCCAAGCGACGATATGTAAAAAGAAGTTCAGTTTAGGATAAGAAAAAATGCAAAATATTTCAATATTTTCTACATCAGGATAGAGAAGTAGTACGCCAACAAATCAAATTGTAAAAATAAGGTTTAAGGCAAAATTCTTAGTATTATATTTTAAAAAGCAAAAAAAAGCACTGTTATTGTAATATTTCAACGGTAAATATTAGTTTCTAAAAATAGTAAAGCTTTTTAGTAAGCCTAGGTACTTAGACTAATAGTTCTGCAGCCGAACTCCAAAACTTCGATTTCGCTAAAATATGCTAAAATGCTAAAGCTAAAATTGCATCCGAATTTTTAGTGATCTCCAAAAATTGCGAATCTTTCCTCCCTGTCGCTTAAAATTGCCTAGCCTAAAGTACTTTGTCCTGCCGCAAGTGGCGCTGTGCAGCAACAGCAGCTGTCAAAATTTGTTTCCATTTCAATGTTCATACGTTAGCTATTTGCAAATAAAAATAAATTGCTAATAACTAAATCACAGTTTATATGAAGGTGAAAACTGAAAACATGACTATCAGGAAAGAAAATAAAGCTAAAAATGCCAACATTTTCTTTATGAAAAGACAAAAGGGATCTTCCTCAAAAGTGATAAACTGTTGATAAACTTGATAAAATGTCAAAATTTCTATGGAAATCTATTTAACCAAAGTTTATCACTTTATCCGACGTTTTTGGTGGATAAACGAATAAATTTCGGCAAAATTCAACCCTCTTAGACTCCAGGTGGTCGATTTTGCTACGAAAACATTAAAAGCAAATTATCACAATGGACGAGGTAAGAATGGAACGTAAATAACTAGCCAGATAAGTTAAATAATAAACAATATTGTGCAATTATTTACCAAGGTGCGTTCATGAAACAATGCAGATAAACTGATAAATTTAAGCAATTTATCCCTTTATCACCCCTAATGAGATTACCATCAAAAAGAAAATAAACCTAAGAGTACAACTCCACAACAAGCTTCCCAGGCGTTCCGCACTTTTCAGGCTTTCAGTAATAGCTGAAGGCATATCTGCCAGACAACATGTAGTCATACTTTTTTGTGTTTTTGCAAATTAAGGAATTTCATAAAAGCCATAAATAACACCGACACACAATAACAAGTAAGAAAGTCTAAGTTTGGGCGGAGCCGAACATTAAATACCCGTCGCAAGTATTAAGTATATGTTTTCCACCTTTCCGAAAGCTACCGCTACATGATAAGCCGGGGTCTATACATTTTAAGTAAATTAGCGTCCTTAAATTTCGAAATATTGAAATTTCAAGCATATCTGAAATTTACCGTTATATGAAAAGCGGCCTCAATTTTAGTCCGATTTCAACAATTTTCAACGGTTTGCTTTTATGTGGCAAGCACAATAACCATACCGAGCTTGGTACAAATTGCTAGAACGGTTAGCGAGATACATATA